TAGTTAAGACAGCGTTTAATAATGAAAAAAAAATAAATAAAATATTACAGTTTAAGTAATTTTAGCGCCATCTAGCGGCGAATAGATGTAACTAATAGAGACATTTACAGTAACCTACAATTTGAGTTGAGAATGCTATTATTTTATTAACACTAATTATTATAATATTATTATATTAATAAAATCGTGAGATCGTGAGACCTGGCAACCTTGCCCACTGTATTAAGCAAAAGGACTAACCTCACCGGACATAAGCAAACCTTGTTCTATGTGAAAGATGGTTGTGTCTTGTACATAATAAACTCTAAAAGTATGAAACCGCCGCCGCTGTAGTTGTCCCTCTGCTCGTACAGTGGCAGCAACTGTAAAAATCGCCCGACCAAACCAACTATGCTAGAAGTATGAAATTCTGATGAAATGAACTTTTTGTTAAAATGAATTAACCATGAACCTAAACCTTTTAGAATCGAAATAAAATCTAAATCCGCAATAATAATCTTACCTCTCCTCTATGGGCAGACATAATAGTTTTAAAAGCATTAATAACCCCATTTAATTTTTTCAATCGGCCGTTTTCGGCCAAAATTTGCAACAAATTAGCAGAAGCCGGCGATAATCCCGCTTTGGAAGCGATCGCTTTCACTCCTTCGGTTTTCGTTTGCTTCTTAATAGTTGGATTTAAAATAAACTCGTTCAATTTAACGTCGGATTTAAGCACACCTTGGAATTGAACCAATTCTTTTTCGACCGCATCCAACTTTTTTTCTTTTGAAGCGGCCGAGTATAAAGCGGTAGCGTACCGACCCTCAATTCCAAACACTTGGATTGGAGGCTTGATTAATTGGTTAACGGCCCCAGAAGTACTGAAACTCCTCGCCTAAAATCGATAAAGTTAACATAACCTAGAAATCTTGATTACATAACGATTAAAACGAGGCGGTTTTAATTTGATTTGAGTTAATAAGGTACTTACGAGGATTGTGAACTTTGTTGATGCCATTATTACCGAATTCTTCTGGTACGAAGCCCCAGAAATTACTTAAAAGACTTTAAAAGATGAAATGAGTGACGTTTTAGAGGAGTTTGAAGTTAGCTGGTTAAGTTAACCCTTGGCGAATTATGTCACAAAATTTATTAATTTTTTTAAATTAATTTATTATCAATTTAATTTTAACAATCATAATTTCGTAACAATAAATAAAATTTAAACAACGATTAAATAAAGCTGATTCAAACAAACTTAATTTTTTTTTTGGTTAGTAACTGTTTTGTATTAGGTTGGTGTCATATATGGTTGCGCCATCTAGTAGTAGGTGACAGAAGAACGATGACTGATTGTCATGTCATGAGTTAAGGTTATGATTTAAAACTTGTATGCTTTATTTTTTAATTTGGAGGAGTAAAATGAATAAAACTAGACTAATACTAGCACTAGAACTGATCCTAGAATTAGAAACATTCCGTTTAGTTGTACCTTTCTTAAGATGGCTTGTAGGTAAGCATAAAATATCACTTTGTTGCATATTTTTATTGAACTAGAACTAAAATCATTCGGATGTAGTCGTATTTGGGCTCAAATGAAACCAAATGAAACGATTTCTAATTTTTAAATCGAATTAAAACGATTAATTCGATAAATTAAAGAAATTTTTATTAAAAATTCGATTTCAAATCGTTAATAAATTGTAAAAAAAGCCTTACTTCCGGTTTAACCGGAAGTTGATTAATGTTAATCCGAATTAAGTCGAGTTTGGGCTTAAATGAAACGATTTTTGATTCTGATTTTAATTTTAGCGATTAATTTGAATTATTATTCCGTCACTTCCGGTTTAATAGGAAGTTGGCTAATTTTAATTCGAATTAAGTCGAATTTGGGTTCGAATGAAAGGATTTTTAATTTTTAAATCGATTTAAAACAATTAATTCGATAAATTAAAGAAGTTTTTATTAAAAATTCGATTTAAAATCGTTAATAAATCGTAAAAAAAGCCTTACTTCCGGTTTAACCGGAAGTTGATTAATTTTAATCCGAATTGGGTCGAGTTTGGGCTCAAATGAAACGGTTTTTGAATCTAAATTTAATTTTAACGATTAATTTGAATTATTATTCCGTTACTTCCGGTTTAATCGGAAGTTGGCTAATTTTAATCCGAATTAAATCGAATTTTGGCTCGAATGAGAGGATTTTTAATTTTTAAATCGATTTAAAACAATTAATTCCACAAATTAAAGAAGTTTTTATTAAAAATTCGATTTAAAATCGTTAATAAATGGTAAAAAGAGCATTACTTCCGGTTTAATCGGAAGTTGGTTAATTTTAATCCGAATTAAGTCGAGTTTGGGCTTAAATGAAACGGTTTTTGATTCTGAATTTAATTTTAGCGATTATTTATTTATTCCGAATTAAAAAAATAGAGTATAATGGAT